ACCAATAGTTAATGTGAAGGAATTAAACCTTAAAAATGTATTACAGTACCTTAACTATTAACAAATACGCAACTTATTTGTGTATCACTCGGCGGTAGAGCCTCAAATTATCACTGAATTGGTGCTGACACTGTCCTTCCTGGTGGTTACATTTGTTCCCCATGGTCCCCGTGTGTGTTGTAAGTAGCCACCGCCCCAATCTCGCTCGTGTAAACTAAACGTGAGATTGCGGTGCATCACAGGAGTGAGCTTGGAGCTGTGGCTACTTTACAACAGTAATAGAATAAAAGTAGCCCCCCACCAGAAGGAAGGACAGTGTCAGCACCAATTCAGAGATGATTTGAGGAGCCGAGTGATCACACAAATAAGATACATTTGTGTTAATAGTTAGAGTTAGTCATGCACCGCTAACATTTTTTCAAGACAGAAGACCGAGTACCGATACTTTAAGTGCTCGCCGATACCAATTACCGATACCTTTTTGTGTGTCATGTGACCGTTTTTCTAAAGGAATACAGACTTTGAAAGACAGTGGTGGAGTGCCGGGGTCGAGTCGCAGATGCAACCGCTGTGATCCTGGTGGTTCTGCCACTGACGCTAAGCTGCAGAGGGCTACAAATCCCAGCAATACATTAAATTGCAATGCAGAATACACCCAGCTAGAGACTACTACAAATCCCAGCAATGCAAAATAATACCATCAGCTATAGAGGACTACAAATCCCAGCAATATATTGTACAGCAATGCAGAATAACATAAAGCTACATACTCTGCGTTGCTCACCAGGGCTGTGCGTTGCGGAAAGTAGTAGATGTTGGGCCAGTGCTGTAAACAGCCGCTGTGAAGTCCCCAACAAGCGCAGGACTTTACATCAGCCAAATGTATTTAATAATTTAAAGCGCCGGTATCAACGCTTAGTATCTGGGCACTGATACAGATACTGGTATCAGTGCATCCCTAGATAGAGTACTTGAATGTATTTGTAAGATTTGACTCCTGAATTTAGTGTCACTTTAAGCTTTAAATTAGTACATATTAGACAATTTAATGTGGTAGGTCTCTTTTGAATTTGGATCACAATATCCCCCCCCCCCCCCCCCACCCCCCATCTGGGCGCGC